CTAAAACTACAACCACTTCCTGCACTCGATTCTGAAGTTTAACAGTTAACGATCAACTCCGAGTCACGCAGCTATCCTGGCAATCCTGTAGCTTACAGAAAAACCAGCATCCCGCGTAGCAGCCATTGTACGTCTATCCAATTTTCAGGTGTCAAAAATTCTTACTCACTGTATCCATAATCTAATAATTCTAGAAATGTTTATGTAATGAAAGGGGTTTCTATTTAAAACCTTGTCTAAACCAGCAGGTGAGCTGTTCGTGTTCTCTAGTTTTAAGTCCATAGGGCCACCAAGTTTGAATCACCTGTAATTAAATCTTAAGCGGCCCATTGGCGCAGGTCAGGGCGGCTCTCCACTCCTCGTTCCCTAGACACAGAGCACCTGTCTAGGTGATGAGGGAGCAGGGAGTTCCTGGGTGGTGTGTGGCTCAGGTGAGGCCCTCTTAAGGGAGAGTTTAGAGGTTATTATAAGTAATCAGTCGTAATGAATGCCTCACCATTATATCTGAGAGTCACACGTTCACACACCCACATTTCCCTGAGGTGGGGCGCTTTTTCAATTCACCTATGTGTTGTCCCTAAGCAAAGAATAGCTGCTAATTTTAATTGCATAAACCACACAAGGCCCTACGACTGAGGAGAACCATCAAAACACACACGGGCCTGACACAAACATCCATGACACTCAGCCCAAAAACTAGGTGCACAATTTTTATTTTGATGTACATACTATGCTCACACAATTAATCGCCATTTTTACTTTTAAACTTGATCGGTCTTTTTAAAATGTCATGTTTTTCATAACTAAATCAGTCTTGTGCATGTCCAGCTAAAAATATTGAGATGGTACACACACTCTCACCAAAAAAAACAAAAAACAGGGGTGATGGGTTGACACAATAACTTTATACTCACCGGTGTGAATTCAAAGTCCTTCTGATTGGCTAAATTGAAGATGTAATCAATTCGAAACTTATTTGCGGGACAGGCTAACTGGACTGGAGGTACCAACACGGACATTGCCGTCACAATAGTCTGTAAAGGAAAAAAGACAATCAGAGTTTCAGTGCGTTCACGTTTTTACACCTTTGATTACTAGTTCAACTCAAGAAGCTTCAACACTTACCTCTATAGCTTCTTTTATATTATTCTTGATGTCTTGAATTTTCTGTTTTTTCTCTCTGTAAAACATTGACTCTTGGTTACTTCAGATCACTTCATTTTCAGGCAACATGAATGAATTAACTGTAATCTTGTGAACAGTATGAATTAAGCAACTTAATGCTACTTAGGGGCAGACGGTAAACCAAATTTTTATATCACAGTATGAATCGATTTACAGTATATCATGGTAATACATTACAAGTTCTTTTTGCTGAAAATTCAACAGATTTGTGATTTTATAGTATTTTATACATTTTGGTTTTATATGATTTTATAAGGTTATTTATAATAATTAAATGAATTTTCTGTTTTTTCTCTCTGTAAAACATTGACTCTTGGTTACTTCAGATCACTTCATTTTCAGGCAACATGAATGAATTAACTGTAATCTTGTGAACAGTATGAATTAAGCAACTTAATGCTACTTAGGGGCAGACGGTAAACCAAATTTTTATATCACAGTATGAATCGATTTACAGTATATCATGGTAATACATTACAACAAGTTCTTTTTGCTGAAAATTCAACAGATTTGTGATTTTATAGTATTTTATACATTTTGGTTTTATATTATTTTATAAGGTTATTTATAATAATTAAATAACTGTGTTTTGAAGTGTTTCCATAATCCTGTGAGGTAAATACCCTACAAATTAAAAGTGTATCATCGCAATTAACTACTTTGTCATTCTATTTTCTTCTCTATAATGGATGCAAAATGATTAAGTTTCATATTACGTAAGACTGGAGTTAAAAACTAAAGAATTATAACTAATATTATAAAACTGACAGTTCAAACTCTGAATTATGATTGGATGAGCTGCATTTGCTTCAGATTGTTGTAAAATAGCTAAATACAAACATGTGACCCTACATTAACTGAATACTATAGTAAATGCACGTATAGAACATTTTAGATCAAGTAGTCCTGGCCACTGCACAAATATACATTCTACCACAGCATAAATGTGTAACATTACAGAGCATAAACCACCGTAGCATTACTAATCCTTTTTTTCTTGACTTTTCCTGGCTTTCTAATCATCAAATTAGAACTTGTTTTCCAGATGCTGCAATCACAGTGTTTCTATTGACTAATTCATGCAACAATTATTTGCCTTTGTCTTATTTCAGCATTGAAATTTTAACCTGTGTTGAAATACTGATGGTCTATATTTCTGTAACCTCTGCAGTATTTTTGGACACCCTTTCTACACTGATTGAGGACTAGATTAGAGTATAGTAAATTATAGTAACAATCACAAAACTGGTTTCAGACCAGCTGCTAAGCATTTCATAATGGTAAATACTACTTATTGAAAGTCTGCTTTTCATTATAATGGGACTTTCAGTGAGCAATATAATGCTACATTAATAAAATGTCCTGTCACATTACAAAATAAAGCACTGCATTTTACTTACAATAAATACATATACTCTAAAGTTATAACTATAACATGTCCCACTAAATCAAGAGAACAACACAATGACATAAAGCACGCCATTACACATGGATTACCGACTTGGATATCAACATCCTCCCAAACCCAACTTTCACTTAAAAACATTACAGCAAAACGACGTTGCCCACAAAATGGCATGATGAATGAAAACAGGGTTTGTTTATACGCTATATCATACTTGACAGTAGGCTATGCTTATGGACAGAATAAAAATCTAGTTTGCGTTTGACTTAAGTGGAATCAAGAAAGTACATAGATGTGAAAGCAATACTTACTCAGCATTGAAGCCATTGACATGTAAAATGCGCATCTGTTTGACTATGGTGCTTTTCCCCGATTCTCCAGCCCCTGAGGGACGAGCAAAAGAAAGATATAAATCACAAGGGATGTGGGAGGAGGAGGGGGTCAGATATCACCCGATTCAACAGGAATAATTAATTAAATTTCACAGTAACATTTCTTTTTAATGGCAAACTAAACATGCACCTCAATCAGAAATTTCATGCTAAAAATCTAAAGCTAAAAGAACTGTCTATAAATTAATATATTATTGTTGTAAACATGCAACAGCTGCAAAAAAGTCATAATGTCACAGCACTTAACACACAGAATATGTTATATGGAATATCATAATTTTGTCCTTTAGTACACAAATAAAATGTCGCCAATTTAAGATTTTTTTAAATTATGAATACTCTACAGTTGCTTCCATATTTCATACCTCACGAGATTTCTATAAGATGCTTCTTTCTTTGATTCTGATTTTTCATTAAATTATAAACAATATCACTCCAATCAATCCTCTTGTAATGGCGCTTTTCCACTGCATGGTACGGGCTGTGGGCGAGATGCAGTAGTGGGGGTCGGTGATGGTGTGGGCCTCCGGAGCAGACCGAGATCCCGGAGCTCTTCGGCGTGCGCAGAGTTTAACTCTAAAAATGTGGTTCTGCCGACATCGAGCAGAAACTCACGACTTTATGTGCGCTTAAGAGACAGATAGACGCGACGAATACGTACAAAAGCACTGCGATTCACAAGACAAAAAACACGAAAACCCCTTTCTGTCGGGAGAGAGAGAAGCCGCAGCGTGTGAACGTGCCGCCATCTTGGAATGAATCTATAACTATAATGACATGTGAATAATCCCGCCCACTCTAAAGCGGTACTAAACTGCAGTGGAAACGCAAACCGAGCCGAACCGAGCCGAACGGAGCCGTGCCGTACCGTACTGAGCCGTACCGAGCCGAGTCGTACCACGCAGTGGAAAAGCGCCATAAGTAAACCAACTAAAAAGGAACTGGTTAGCTATGCATCAAATTAAATAGTGAAATGCAAAATAAAACATAAGGAACTATCCAGAAACACCACCTAACGTCTCTTAGAGCCATAGTTGTCAAACATTGACAAAGCTGAATGATTCTACAATTTATGGTCAACAATGCACAGTTGTCCGAGTTTCCAAGTGCTAAATATGAGAAGAGTTAACTTTTCAACTTTACAGAAGCACCAAAACACCTCAGATTTAGGCGCTCAGTTCAGATGTATGATGGGAAGTTGGGAACCTCTTTATCACAACACATATTTTGTTACAAGGCTCCAATTGTGTCAAATAGGCCTGTTTGCATACAGGAATTCCACTTGTGTGCTCCAATTACACTGGTACACATCCCTAAATCATATATCATTACAACACACTTAGATCATGGGTCTCTAGAAATATCCCTTAAACACCCACCAGACATTATGATTTAGAGTGCTTTGCTATGTTGAATACATGGGATTTTGATTTAGAATAGGGTACTTTTAGGCCATGTGTATATCTGAAAAAATAGACTGTTAGAGAACTGGGTTTTATCAGAATTAGTGAGACCAGTCTCTTAAACAGAGACTAAATCAAATCAAACTGAAGTTAAAACAACTTCATGTCGTGCTACGAAAGATCCATGAAATTAAAACGCTTGCTGATTTTATCGGGTTCAAGGTAGTAAGGTGGTAGATCAATGTTTTTTTTTTTTTCTAAATGGCCAATAATTCCAATGCCGATATCTAAAGAGCAGGGTGACCGGCTTAATGCTGATACTACAGTTTCATGTAAGCAAATAAGACATATACAAATTGCTGAATTTAAATAAACTTCATTATTTTTCACTTCAATTACTCAATTCAGCAACAACAAAAAAGTCCATCATTCTATAACAAATAGGCAAAATGACCATTTCTGTTCATCGGCTTGGTTAATACATCAGTCTATTGCTCAACTAAACTATGAATATTTAAAGCATGAAAAATATGTTAACTGATCTAATCAGTTTCTGTTTCAAATGTATGTCATCTCTCTTATTATTATCATTTTGGGCATGCCCAGAATGCTAAACCATAAAAATAGCACTATGCAAGCAACCCTTACCAGAACTAAACCTAAGAATGATGCACTAATCTCCCAAACATCTTAATTCAGAAATGTTTACTTAAACAGTTATTTCCATATATATGTACAGTAATAAGCACGCTGCTAATTTAGCAGGATGGAGAAACCACTCTAAACTCATGAACACCGGCCTAAAGAAACAGCATATGCATATGTAAGTGTATGCTTATGAGTGTGGGATCAACATGAGATAGTTGTGAGTGAATTATAAAATCATGGGAGCCCAAATATTTCCATAATGCAAAACCTAGTCAACATAAATCAGATGGGAATGAATGGAGTGATTGAGCGGTGTTGGGTGAAGCACCACAGGCCCTGAGGTGTCCACTACTACGGCCCACGAATCCCAATCGAAACGCGTGTACCCCCATCATGTACTCGGACAAATGAATCAAATTCACACAAAACGCTAGGAAATGTGACAGGCCCCGATGACGTCACACGCATCAGGAAAGTGTTCGCAGCAGTGACAGAACCTCAGCTTTCAGACCAACCTACCTAACAGTAGTAGTCGATGAGTTGCTCTGTAGATCTGTTTGTCTTTCTGGAGCTGTTTCTCTATCTTTTTGTTAGCTTCTCGCTGGGCCTTCTCCTCATTTCGCTGGTCCTCAGTCTTACTGTTGCCCAAACAACCCATTTTCCCAAAAACCCAAGAAAAGTTTTGGGGTGGGGTTGGGTGGGAGGTGTATCTACCGTATGAATAAATGATCCAAATTCCTTGATTGGCCTCCGATCAGAACACTTTGATGGAAAACCGGGACATTTATACTTGTATGCACATCGCTTCCCCGGATTTCGCTGATAAAGGGCAGGAGGGGAGCACGGGGAAATATGAAAGCTATGGGTGACTAGTATTGGCGAGAATAGGTGGTGGTAGTGAAAACACTAGGCCGGCCTACAGACGGCCGAGTCCTGTCGAGCGCTTTGCTGCTATAAAATATGAGATTTCTGTGTGTGGATGTGCATCCAGCGAAGCCTTCGACGTTACATGAATGATTTTGGCTTTCCCACGACGGCAATTTAGCAAATTTCCCGTCGCGAATCCATGGTAGGTTTCCCGAAATAACGAGCGACTCCTATTAAAATCATGAATAGCTCCACAAAACGCGATTCTTTTCGGTTTCTTGCTGTCGAATCCGCTGGCCGATGCAACGAGACGGGCAGAACGAGATAGAAAGGGTGGCTACAAATTAAAAAAATAAATATCTCCACCAAAATGACGGCATGTGGATCATTCCGCCCTGCGCCGTGGTCGACATGAACCTTTTAACTCCGTTACGAAACGACGTTGTCTGCGAGAAAAATACGGCGATGCTACTGAAAAATTCCCCTCAGATTGACGCTATTTCCCTCCTGTTCTGCTTACGGTGACTGATCGCTTTTTTTCGGCTTGTCCGAATCAAACGAGGCCCTTCGCCGTCTTCTCCGTTACTGTAATTTGAATTTCTCCTCACATCCGTAGGCTTTGCTTTGACGCGAGCGGCGATCCTTACGGTTCTTTCAACCGCAGATGCAAATGCGAGCGATTCCGTCGATATTTTAACGTACCGGTTATCGCAGTCCGAGTCCGCTGTCAGGCTACGCTTTGTATCCTTCTTGAATCCTTCTTAGATCATGTGCATTTGGATACGTGAAGATAAATCCGACACCACAACGACAGCGATGGATTCCCTACGGACGGAGCGCGTTGAATCCCCAATTGTGGCGAATGGATCCTTTTCGAGGGTGTATTTTTAGCGATTATTTCCTTTTCTCAGTGAATTGTACATTGAGATAGACAGCGTTGAAGAGATGGGTGGGGCAAACAGCTCTCATTGAACCCTGCTAATCACATGACAGCCCAAAAAACGTCAGCAAGAGGCGATTCTGCGGAGCGAGGTGCCCTCTTTGAAGACATGATTCATACGTGATAAAGTTCGCGATTCCCACCCGATCCATCTTTGACTATTGACCATTATCGCTGCTTATGTGTAGGGCAGTGCGTTACAATCTTATGTTTAACGCATAATTCTCTGAACCACAGCTTCGACCTGACAATATGTAAACACGCTCGTTTTAAATAGGACTGGGGACCGAGAACTGCTTCCGTGAACACATGCCACAGCCGAGTAATAATTAAATCATGTTAATCAGTTAATGGTTTTTGAGCGTACCTTTTGCATCCGAGGCACATGGAACACAGTAGACTACTAAAATACTCTGTCCACTGTGATTCGAATCCCGAAAAGATGGCTCTTTTGAGTCGATTCTTTGCAATGAATCACAAACATACAGGGCGACTAGTGCAGTCCGATTCCCGAACGACTGACTCGAATGAGTCGGTTCTTTACAGCGAATTAAAACATTTATGAATCACACAGAGCGCTTACTGAACGTGTACTAAAACGTACACATAAAAAGCTTTAGACAGATATATGTTTTTATAAATGTTCGTTTGGTATTTTTAATAGAATCAGTTAGTCGTACCATTTATTGTACTGCAGTCTGAAAAGTCCTCAAAAAGTATTGTCAAGCACATCTTTTGTAAGAACTGTATAATTTGTTATATCTGTATGTGAAATGTTATGTAAATATGAAATTCTCATGTGGCACCAGATGTCTGAGGACAGTGAATGCAATACGAGTTACAATTTTTCTTTACAAGTATTTAAAATAACTAACATTTATTAGTAGATATTTAAAAATTACTAAAGAATGTTTGAATTTAAGTGTTTGTTGTCTGTTGATATGTACTTAATCCTGATGGCCTCAGTAAATTGATAACTTATGTGACAATTATTGTATTAATAAACTGACACATTTGTGAGAGAGTACTTAATTATTAATCACTGCAGTGTACACAAACATAATTGCAAATAAGAGAACAAGTTACTTCTTAATATACTAAAAGTGCAAATATTTTGAAGGTACATTTTATGGC